GATAGGACAAGTGGAACAAAGGATGCAGGCAGCTTTGGTAAGAGAAGGAGCACAATATCAAATACCAAGTGCTTACGGTCATGAGATGAAAGAAGAAGGGATCCTTCTATGATAACTTCATAAAAGCATTGAATGTTCTTGGCAATTTCTTCTTCTGAAGAACTAGACCTGCGACCTTTTTTGTACTTCTTCAAAGAATTAGCAATCAAAAATGAATCTTCAGTTTGTAGAACAGTTTCAGGTAAGAGAATGTTTATGAGAGCAGGCCATACACTATGAACTCGAGGCTGACAGAAGGTAGATTCCTGAGTATTCCAAATAAAGAAAAAATTTTCATGCAAAAAGTTAATATTAGTCATATTTAGTATCTTTAAATATATAATTGATAATCCCACCTTTAAGCAGTTTACAATACATAAAAGATGGTCAGCAGCAAAAATATTGCTTGGGCTGTATGGATTTGGCAGAAGTTTGCCAAACACAGAGCTGTCAACAGAAATCTTTTCTCGAATTTTGATTGCTAAAAGCAATGCATCGGGATTTCCAACATCAGTGGCTTCTTCAAACCACTCATGCAATCCTGGAGCTACAAGAACATGATTGAGCACCGCTTCAACAGGCAACTGCAAAATCATAAGACACAGACATGATTAAGCAGCTATATAACTTTGGCACATACAAGAGACAGAGACATGGGAGAAAACAATCTAAGGGAGCGTGTCAAATTTTAGTGCATAACATATTAATTTTCAAAAAGACTCCTGTAAAATCATAGACCAATAACACCAGGATGGCAGCATCCTTCTGCAACCATGATACGAATCTCGCAATCCTAAATGCCGTTCTTTAGCAATCAAAGATCACATGAAATGGCAAATCAAACTAAGATACATACAAAAAAGAAAAAGGGGTTATTACGACATTCCTCTTTGACTCCCTTTTGCAACAAGATTCACAAAGATAAAGAATGACTGTGTAGAGACATAGTCAGGTAGAAAGTAAGAGGTTCTAAGAATGAGGAGATTTTGTCTCTTTTTTTTAATAGAAGAAAAGCACGCTACTCACAAGGCACCAAGTGGTTATCACCCTGATACAGAAGAATTTACAAAAGAGCATCTGCCAAAGAATCTATTAGGTCCCCAAAATCATCAATGATATGGAGAGGATATCGATTTAATAAAATATAAGCTCTAATTCAATTACAATGATTTTTGCCTAAACTTTTGATTTTGAGAGCATCCAGTATCTACATATATATTTGGTTTTTAGATATTTTTGAATCACTTATTTTAGATTCTATGATGACATACTCGTGATTTCAGCTATTATAATTTTTTCACATATATTTGCACATATAAACACGCATATATAGCATGTAGTGTATAAGAATCTCTTCAAATGCTCCTGACAAAAGTAACCCATAAACAATACACATGATATGGGCACCACATATTCCCATATAACAAAGTACCAAACTATAGAACGGCAGCCCAATTACCGAATATCAAGAAAAAATGTGTTCTTCATTATGGCCAACACTGGGTAGCAAGAAAAGTGGTGTACAATGTCTTCGTATCCATACCAGACACCACAATGTACTAATGAAGTAACTCAATCATGAAAAATTTCCACAAATTGGTTTTTTGGGTAGGAAAATTCACCAATAAATAAGTGGTCTTAAATTGGAATTAGAACCCCAAGAGTTTTTTCCATTACAATTGATCCTTAAGTTACAATTAGGTCATAAAAGTTTTAGTTTGTATTATCTAAACCATGTAGATTATAGTAACAAACTTTACTTAAGAAAAATTCTTTGCAAGTTTAAGGACCAAATTATAATGAAAAGAACTCTTTTGACTCAATTATAACATGGTGAATAGTTCAAGAACTAAAACAGGATTTTGCCCCAGATCTTATGATGATATGCTCATGATTAACTACGATATATTTGTGTATTTGCACATATAGACATATATTGCATGCATTATATAAGAATCTCTCTAATTGCTCCTTAAAATGCAACCCATAAACAATTCATATCAAATGTGTACCTCATATCCCATACAAAAAAATACCAGACTGTTAGAAGGACAGGGCTAATGCTGAATATCAAGAAAAAATTTGTTCAACATTCCACCAACAACAAGTAGCAAGGAAAATGCAAGGTAAAACAATCCTGAAAAATTTCTACTAATTGGTTAATCATGTAAGAAGGTTTATCAATAAAAAGAGACCTGAAGCCATAAGAATCAATCTTTTAATCTTCCATAGTTCCACAAGGAAGAGAAAAAACAAGAACACCTCCCACAACCCACCCCCGACATGCCAAAGCACCATTATATTGCACGTGTTTTCAAAAAGAAGTTTGTTTTTGAGTGCAGGAGACAGTGAGATGCCTCATACAAAATACAAAACAATCATACAAAAGCTTATGCCAGATTAGTGCAAAATGGTCTATTGACGCTTACTTCCTTGGCCTTCAGTTGCCAAAGTATTATTTAGCTGTTAAAAGGTCAGAAGTCGATTCAAGGTTGTGTTTTGAGCAAATCAGAAAATGGTTTCTCGACAAAATAGCCCGTACTGAGCTCACTGTTAGCGAAAAGGCTAACAATCTACAACTAAATTGGACGAAATAAGACCATACATGTCTGCATTTCCTTGTTCTCCTACAAATACCATTAGGCTGTAGACATTTTGGATGCCTGAAGAGCTCACCTTATATCTTTAAGAAAACTGACTTCTTTAGCTATCCTCCATCATGCATATAGACATCAATCACTACCTCCAAAACAATAATCACAGCATTTCATTGTTTAAAGAATCAAAACATTACTTTAATGCAATATGCGAGATTGAAGAGAAAAATCAAATAAGACTGCACAATTATAAAGGAACTTCGTTACGACTTGCAGGCAACGAAAAGATTCCTAGATCTTTCAAGCCAAGGAACAAATGAAAACACAAAACACTTGATAGCAGAAGTAAAAATACTTCTCTATCAACGCTTTTACCTTTTCAACCATGTCTAAAAGGACAGCTACAGCAGCCTCTTGCAAGTATCGCTTCTTTGCTGCAAGAGAGATAAGAACACTGGTGAAGTCCTTAATGTAAGGAGTATTCTTATCAGAGATCCACTCTTCGCTTAGCCTTCCTGATCGAGCTAGAGCACCATAAGCAAATAATCGCCCTAACAAACAATCCCTTGCTTCCTGTAATGCAATTAAAAAAAGTAATTATAATATCTTTTGCAGTGCCAAAAACCTCCTGAAACGATTTTTTACTTACCTGGCCTTTCATTGATGAAGAGATTTCTAAAGAATCAACAATAAGCTTCAGCAGTGAATCCACTTTGACGCTAGAAATTTTGCCAATCAACAAAGTCAAACCTAAGGCAAACCCTTGTCTTGCACACTGCATAAACAGCAAATTTCATGTGACAAGATAGCCTGATACTGAATGACGTTCAACCAGTAAATAGCAATCAAAAGCTTCAATTATCTGAATAAAGACTTGAACAAGTGTAAATATTTCTATTGGAATTTCTGCTTCATCACAAAGGCACATGTATAAAATAATAATAACTTGTAACCTATTCATTTGAACTCTTAAAAGATGTATACCGGGAAACAAAAACTCAAGAACATCCCAACCATTATCATCAAAATGCAAAGTTCCTTATATTTCAAAAAAAAAGAAAAAGCCAAATTCCTTACCTAATATACATTTTCATTCAACTTCTAAAACCATACCTGACTCTAAAAGAATACTATATCAAGTTAACTGCCAATTAACTAGGTAAGTAACGTTAGGTTACTTTACATTCACTAACTGCTCAATTAGATGGATTAGTAGCAAGGGTTATAAGATGGCTATTCATTAACCACAATGAGGAAAGATAACATGAATTACAGACTGATACTAACAAATAATAGTACTCCAAACAGAATGCTTTATAGGATAGCTATACTAGAGTGTTCTATTCAGAAAGCACCAATGCCAAAGGAAAAGACAAATATTCATGAACAAAATTCTAACAGAGAATAATGTATGGACAAGCACTTCTCAAAAGAAAACAGCCATACAAGCACCAGTACACACCTCTCGAGAAGAAGAAACACCTCGGATTAGCCTGCGCACAGCATATCTCAAAGATGGTGCACAATCACTCAAACCATCATCTTTGTCCGCCTCTAGTTTCAAGCCCTCGCTGACCAAATCCTTTTTTCCAAGTCTCTCATATGCCTTCTGAACTTCCTGCAACTCCCTCACTAATGATTCCACTGCTTCTTCTCGCACTGAACCATCAGCCGAAGCCAAGTTCTTGAAAACACTGATATGGAACTCCGGCAATCCGCTAGTGGAAGAAGATGCTAGAGATGCGCTAGTCTCTTCAGGTCTGGGTTCTGCCTCCAATGGTTTAGGCTGCGCCATTCCTTCATCTTGCAAAGCAGCTCTCTTTCTCTCTTTATCAAACGCTTTTCTCTTCTTCTTCCTCTCCATGTCTTTGTTGGAACTAGCAGGGACACCAGAAGGAGTAACTGCTGCATCGTCTCCTTGTACAGTTTCTGGGTTTTCTTCATCTTTGTTCTTCTCCTTCCTCATTTTCTTCTTCAAAGGTTTCAGCTCCCTGTTGTTTTCTGCTTGATTTTCCACGTCCTCCACAGAATGGGAACTGCTTCTTTTCTTAGAACCCATTGAATCAAAACCCTTGTTTCTCCCTTGAAACCTAGTTGACCGAAACAATATGCAACTACTAACCAGAAAAACAAACACACCAAAAACGGAAATATATGGTTATTTAAAGAATCAATCAAACTTCCATAGGTAAAACACAAACTCCTGTTATTAACACATTCCATAAAAATATTCCCAATAGAAAATCAATAAGTCCTTACAAGATTAAGTGTGCGGCAGGCAGTTGAGTATGTCTCTCTGTTATCTTCCTCCGTCTAAAGTTAGAACCAAAAGTAATGCGATTACCGACTGTCAAAGCATCGGTTGAAGTCTCTACAAAAACGCGAAGTAATCGTCAGAAGAGCCAGGCGTTTGATTGATCGAAGGAGCCGCCGACGTCTCCTTGCGGGAGAGCTGCTCGACCACCCCTGGGTTCTCCTATGGTGAAATAAGTGAGAAAGAAGTGTGGTTTTATTATGTGTGGGGCAGAATTTACATAAATAACCTAATTACTGAGGGAAAGGGAAGACGATCAGGGAATTGCGTTGGAATTGCGAATACATATATATATATATATATATATATTTAATTTGATTAATAAAACATATGTTAATTAGGTTTAGGATTGTTTTGTATCTTTCTTAATTATAATTAAGAATAATAATTTTAAGTTATTTTTAATTTTCAACATGAAATAAAACTGTCAATAAATAAAGCTTACAACATCTTTCTTTTATCACTTATTGTTTTAAGAAAATTGATATAGTTATTAGTAAAATAGGTTAATATTTCTCTTATTAATCTTATATATGTAAATAAATTGGGAATTAACATGTTTTTAAATGTATAAAATTATATTTATACTAATTTTATACAATTATGGTAGTATGTATGTATATACATATATATAAAGCTAGTTAACGGTGGCACCACATTAAACCACTTCATTACATTAATTATTTTATAATTAATTTAATAAAATATATATGTAAAAAAAATATATATTTAAGATGAATTTTATTGACATACATATGCAAAGCACCAATTATTAAAAATTCTAATATTTTTTAAATAATTAATACGAGAGGAGCATTTATTGCAAAGAAGATTGGCATGCAATTATAATCGAATAAATAAATTCACATTCTTCTAATTATTTTTTTAAAAATATGAATTATCAATAACTTTTAATAGATTCTGTATATAAATATATTATACATAGCATTTAATATGATGTTTATTAATATATATATATATATATGCTTAAAAATATTTATAAATACTGAAAATCATCAAAAATCCATGACTATTGGGAGGAAGTTATTTGTGTAAAGCCAAACCAAAGGAGAAAGCAATATTGACTCCAAGAAAGAAGATGTAAAGTCATTAGATGGATTCACAATTGTGAAGTTACATTACATATCTTACTTACTATTATGATTATCAATAAAATTGGGATATTGAATATGTAAATAAATGAATTATGGAAGGTTGTTTGATGTGATCCAAAAAAATGCTAGGCATAATATTTGTCGAAATGACAAAAATTATATGAAGTTAAGAATTTTCTTTAAAAATACGTATTATTATCAACTAAACTGATCGTATATAATTTAATTATAAAATAATAAATTTGTAAGTAATAATATAATATAACTAGTTGTAACTAATTAACTAATAAAATTTTATTTGGAGATTCACTATAAACACAATCATAGTTAAGATTGATATTGTTATACCATTAAGACTTAATATAATTAATTAAACTTATTAACTAATTTTACAATATCAAAGTATTCATCAAATAAATATAGGTGATTAATCGTATTTAATTAGTTTATAATTAAATATTTGAATATAAAAAAAATAGAGAGAGATTTATATCATATTTCAAAATAATCATATGATTCAATCTAATGATATTGATCACTAATTATAATATGATTATTTTAAAAACTAATATAATTTATTACTCAAATCAACTGCTTAAGGGAACGTTATAAAATAAAATTTGAAGTGTTAGAATCGATCCAACAAACTCAAATGACTTTTGTAGCTGCCGCCTTACTAAAAGGACCCAAATACTTTTTTGAGTGAAGAATACCCATAAATTTGGAGATCTAAAATACTATCAACTCAAGCCTCCAATCCATTAATCTTTGAGTGAGACTTAAATTTCCAGGTGTCTTCTTTCCATGGTGAAACTCCTATAAATGTCCCACGAAATCCAAACAAAAACCCTTTTTTGGGATGGGATTCCTAACTAAATTCAAAAGGGACTTGACCTTTTCCGGCTACCTTAAGATGCTTTTTTTCGCTAGCTTTACTTATTCGTGTTCATCTTATGCATTAAGAACCTGAAAATTCATCAATTTCAGAAATAATATTGCATTATTCCATGCAAGTATGCAATCAGGATCAAAGTGCACAAATTCCCTACATCATGGCTTACAAATCCAGTTTCTAAATGGTAATGTAAACGTGAGTGAGACAGCACACGCCTAAAAATGTGCACAACAAGATTGGAAAGCTCAACCACATATGGGGAAGGTATTTGAATTCCTAATACATTCAGCCTCCAAGATTTACTTACAAGGAACCGCAAGAACATGTCATACCGACGTGCAATATAAAAGTAGGTCATTTTTAGCTGCAGTTCGCAGCCTGTTTCAAAGGAACCATTAACAAAGCTGCTGCCTACAGCCTATAATCAATCTCTCACTTCTTCACCTCCTCATATTCTGCCTCGGGAGCCTGGTCCCCGCCTGGTGATCCTCCTGCTGTGGGACCGCCACTGGAACCACCAGCCATGTGCTGTCCAATCTTAGAGACAGCTTTGTTGGCGGCATCAATCTTGGACTTGATCTCGTCTACATTTTCTCCTGCCATCGCCTTCCTCACATCTGCCACAGCATCCTCTATTTCTTTTGCAACTTCGCTGGGAATCTTGTCTCTATATTCATCCAAGCTCTTCTCTATGCTGTAGATGGTGGTGTCTGCGCTGTTCTTAATGTCAATCAAAGCTTTTCTTTCTTGATCCCTCTGGGCAAATGTTTCCGCTTCCTTAACCATCTTCTCAATCTCATCTTCTGACAATCCTCCAGATGACCTGATTGTAATCTGCTGTTCTTTTCCAGTAGACTTGTCCTTGGCGGAGACGGTGACAATTCCATTGGCATCAATGTCAAAAGTTACTTCAATCTGAGGCATGCCTCTAGGAGCTGGTGGAATACCAACAAGCTCAAATTCTCCCAGGAGCTTGTTATCAGTTGCCATTTCTCGTTCACCTTGAAGCACCTTGATACCAACTTGAGTCTGGTTGTCAGCTGCAGTTGAGAATACCTGAGCATGAAGGACAATAATTAGCTAAAGCTCAACGATTTAAAATCATGATTTAGCACACATGGAAAAAACATCCTTTATACCAGTAACAATTCCAGTAAGTTCCATTTATTTTGTCGCTCATGTAATATGTTATATCATAACCACACAAGAAAGAATTTGGTTTCACAATCGAACCTGGCTCTTCTTCGTAGGAATTGTGGTGTTTCTGTTGATAAGCCTAGTAAAGATTCCACCCAGTGTTTCAATACCAAGTGATAGGGGGGTCACATCCAAGAGAAGCAACTCTTTAACATCACCACGGAGAATGCCACCTTGTATTGCAGCTCCCATAGCAACAGCCTCATCTGGATTGACTCCTTTACTGGGCGTCTTACCAAATATCTCCATCACTACTTCTTGTACCTTAGGTACACGGGTCATTCCTCCAACAAGAAGAACCTCATCAACTTCCTTAGTAGAGATGCCAGCATCTTTTAGACAGTTCTTGCATGGATTCTTAGTCCTCTCTATCAGGTCATTTACCAAACTCTCAAACTTTGATCTGGTAAGAGTGATATTCAAATGCTTCGCACCAGAAGCATCTGCTGTAATAAAAGGTAGGTTGATTTCAGTTTGGGACGTTGATGAGAGTTCAATTTTGGCCTTCTCAGCAGCTTCTCGGAGCCTCTGCAATGCGAGCCTATCCTTTGAAAGGTCAATGCCCTCAGTTCTCTTAAATTCATTAACTAAGAAGTCCAACAAAGCATTATCAAAGTCTTCTCCTCCCAAGAATGTATCACCATTTGTAGCTTTCACCTGGACGAGATAATAATCAGCAAGGTTAGAAGATATATTCATCACAATGACTTAAACAAAATAACCTAATATAGTTACAGTCAATGTATACCTCAAAAACCCCATTTGAGATCTCCAATATTGAAATATCGAATGTGCCACCACCAAGATCAAACACCGCAATCAGACCCTCCTTGTTGTTCATACCATAGGAAAGGGCAGCAGCAGTGGGCTCATTGATGATCCTCTGCACATCAAGGCCTGCAATTCTCCCTGCATCTTTTGTTGCTTGTCTTTGCGCGTCATTGAAGTAAGCTGGGACTGTGATGACAGCTTTTGTAACTGCCTTTCCAAGATAAGCCTCCGCAGTTTCTTTCATCTTGGTCAGAACAAATGCACCAATTTGGCTGGGAGAATATTGTTGGCCATTTGCTTCAACCCATGCATCCCCATTGGGAGCTCTAACTATCTTGTATGGGACCATCTTCATTTCTTTCTGCGTCTGAGGATCATCAAAACGCCTACCAATTAGACGCTTGGTTCCAAATACCGTATTTGTTGGGTTAGTGACAGCTTGACGTTTGGCTGGTGTACCAACTAGAAGCTCTCCCTTTTGGTTAAATGCTACAACAGATGGTGTCGTTCGAGAACCTTCGGCATTCTCAATAACTTTGGGATTCTGTTACAGCATTATAATTAAGCAATAAGAATGCAGGATATTAGGGGGGGAAAAACCATTTGTGAAGTCAAACTCACTCAGAATCAATCAGATACCTTTCCCTCCATGACTGCAACACAAGAGTTGGTGGTACCCAAGTCAATACCAATGACATCATTCCCAGCAGGTTTTGAACTGCATAGATTCAAAGAGTCACCTTAGTTAGACACAAATCCTATATAAAAATGAAAATATCTGCAGCCTAGGAACCAGAACTCATATCACCTGAAAGCTCTGCACAAAGTTGTCCAGTTGTTCCCTATGTAAGAAGGACCCCGCGATGTCTTGGCATTGCCGGTCAACTGTACAGGCAAAACAAAGAAAATATAAGATGCATTTTTACAGCAAAGTCCACCCTTGGAAAAATCCTATGATGCCTTCACTAACAAAAAGTGATCTCTGTGAATTATAAGTCAATATTTTTGACAAAAAATTTTGAGTCAACCTGAAGTCAAAATGAGACGTCATCTGGATCAACTGTATCACACACATCAGAACTTTCAATAATTTGGAAGCTAAAGATTCAAACTATAAGACCTTCAAGAACAGAGTGAATTAGCATTAGGCCGCATCTTCCAGGAAACAGCATGTAGGTAAAGAGCATTTAGGTTCCTAGTTTAGACCTTCTCAACAAGTCAATTAGATGCACTTTGCAGGACTTGGAGAAGCATTTCCATTAAGGAATCTAGATGGGAAGCCCACGAGCACTTTTTTATCCATGAATACCAAACTCCATCTCTTTATTAAACATTCTCTAGTTTCAGACGATAAATCCAGGAACTCAAATCTTAGAATCAAACACAAACAAACATGTGAATTAGAAAAACCACATGTTAACAACAAGAACCTCAGTGGAATCAAACCACAAGGGCATCCAACAACCAGATTAAAATTTAAAAAACTACGACCTAGGAGACGACAAGGAAACTTTCACATAACAAGCGTCAGTGATTGAGTACATAAACATCACTTTCCATTTATACTAAGAAATTAATATTATCATGTCGGTTAAAGCTGTAAACCAGCTTTCATCCTCGAATAAACTCTAAATAAAGAAGACAAGAAAATCTCATCTGATCGCGGCAGAATTTCCTTCTTTCAGAACTGAGCATACGAACACAATGAAATAATACAGAATTATGAAAGAACAAAAAATTAAAAAGCTTCGGATCAGGCCTTAGCTATTGTAAATTAAGAAGAAAAAAAAAATCCAGCGAGCCGACACGTTCACGTTCGAAATTACTAAGTTCCATCGGTAGTGGATCAATTAACAAGCAGAAAAAAAAAAAAAACATCTCGATCAATTACTGAAGGAGAAAGGTTTACGGACATACGCATTTATATGCTGACAGAGGGGCGAAGGCGACGTCCCGGCGTCGTATTGAGCGGAGAAGAGCTGCGGCGGCCATGAATAATCAGATCAACTTGTAGCTTTTGGGGATGAAAAAAAAAAACCCAGAAATGGAGAGTAGCGAGTACAGGAACTTTCCACGTTCAGGGGTTTAGGGTTTTATGGGCCGAAAGGCAAATGGATTTTTTCTAGCGAGAGGTGGAAGGTTCTAGATATATCTACTGCGGTCTGTACATACGTGGTGTCCAGTGTTCTCGTTTGTTAGAAAATTGATGCTACCAAGGGTGGGTTTAGAGCGGACAAGGAGGTCTTTAGCGGCTGCCACGTGTCCACGGCGTTAAGACCCTGAAGGTTTTTATTTTGGGTAAGGAGATAAAACGCAGTCGTTTCGGACACTGAACGGACAATGGCCGACCGGGAAGTAAATTTTTAAAATATATAACTAGTGAACTGACATATATACACAATATCAGGAATTATCATGTCTTGTAATTTTATTTTTTTTTGTCATATTCTTATAGTAGATAAGTTTTGGACAGTATTTTCATTTTTTTTCTTTAATTTAGACATAATTTTCTAATATCATATCATGTAATTGTTTTTAATATTAATAATATGCAATAATACAATTGTATTTAACTTTTAGTAGTTATTATTATCATATTTTATCATGTATTTAATAAAAAAATGAGCCTGAAAATTACCAGTATGGTCCAATTCGAGTCTGAGATTAGGTCAGTCCAACTTGAATCAGTATTTAGTTCGGTCCAAAATAGTCCGATTCCGGACTCAATGAATTCCTCTAAATATGTCAATTCAGTAGTTAGTAAAGTAATTATAATTAAAACAGCAAATAAATGTTTCACGACTTTCTCGCTCGAGCAGTTCATAAAATTCCATTTGCGCCCAAAACGGGCATAACAAAATTTTGAACTGAGAAACTCCCAACAAGTAAAATTGACTCTACAACAATGATGAGTCTAATATTATTCAAAGTTATGAATAACCCCCATTAACATGAATAAATACAATTATGTTCGTGCATGTTTGGGTTCATGAATTTTGTAATTCCTGTACAATATCTTACAAACTTGAAATTACAGCCGGATCGGCTCACCCCCCGACAAGGCCACTCCATCTCTCACCAGACAATATATAAAACCAAAGTGATCGATAAGTGTTCTTGATTTGCAAGGACGCCTATGAGAAACGACGCCTGTGCTACTTCCGGTCATTGAAAAATCAGTTGAAAAGTGACAAATCAAACACAGCGGCAGCTGAAAGCTTGACAAGAAATTCCTGTAGAATTCAGAAAAGAAAAGGTAGGTGTTCACCAGTTTGTCTAATTGAAGGAACTGAAGCAGCTTCTTCATCTTAGAACTGAGGTAAGGATAAAATGGCATACAACTATTCTGTTGGTTCTAACTTATTTGTACTCCTCAAATCCGAAGATAACCTCTTCTTTCTTGAACTCCAACAGCTCTTCTCAAGACTGACTTCCTGTTAAAAGACCAGCTTCTTTCCATAGCCCTCCTCCTCCGCCAAGCAGCCAAACGGGAATAAATAGCCGGGAATGCAAAGCATAGCAGCACCAGAAGCAGCATCACACCACAAACAAACATGACATTTCGAAAACCATCTTGTAGTTCAGGGTCACCTTGCTCTGTCCATGGAACTCCTCCCACGTTCATGCCAAAAACTGCTTGTGCACATTAAAAAGATTAGACTAGAATTCTACCGACCGAGTTCTGTGAAGATGCCAAGAAAATTTAAATATTGAAGGTTCTCATAAGAGTTTTACCTCCAGTTATGATAGACAAAGGAAGGAATATTATTGAAAGGAAAGAAAGATAATAGAGCTTCTTGTTGATTTGTTCAGCCTGCCAGCTGTCAAGACCTGCTTGAATTGCTGTCACTCGATTTGCAATAAAACCTACATTTTCTTTTAACCTTCTCAATTGTCCAATTAACTCTTCTAGGGAATTAACATCTTCAGACGAAAACCAATGTTTCGAAGCACATTTCTCTTTCACTCGGGGAAATACTTGCTCTCCATATGCAATTACCTAAGGTAAAGGAAGATAAATATAAAAATAAGATATCAACATGGATTTACTTTATCTCATCAAACTAAATCCCTCTGGGTCTTGTACTGTAACAAAAGCATGGATCCAGCAAGTGAATTCCCATATAAAAATGTTGTGGATTAATAGTATATAGTTTCTAATAGCCAAACCAAGAAAAGAAAAAAAAGGACTTTTTGTCTAAGTCAAAAATAAAGATAAACCAAGAAATTCAGTAACATGCCAAAGGGTGTGAAAGAGCAGAATTTCATAAACAGAAAGTCAGCCAGTTTGGAAGATACAAGTGAGTTTCCAACAGCCACACAAAGACAGCACATGGATTAACATTTTAGTTGTATGAACTTTTTTTTTAATTTTCTAGAAACAAATAAAAGATCATTTCAGTTGAACCGATTTCTTAGAAATAAAAATTTTGAACAATGTTCTGAAACTAAAAAGTCCCAAAATGCTTTCTCACTCTTGGCCATACAAAGGGAGAAAGAGAAAATTAGAATTTAACAAACCACCTGCAAAAGACGCTGCAAATTAAGATGCATCTTGGGGAATCTTCTATCATCCAGCATCTTTTTCTTTAAAGCAAATCCACCTGAAATGAGAAAAAGAAAGTGAATTAGTCATATGAATCAGGTGAATGAGATTATCATTAACTCTAGGGGGAAGTTTGACTGTGAACAAGGAATTTCAAATTATGCAATTACCCTGCTCGTTTTTCTTTTGCTTAGTGGAACATTCTATTAACATATTTACAAAGGATCTTACTGATCCTCGTCATTCTCTATACTTCTAGGGTGAAGATGCATCTTATATGGAGATAGTGGTCCTAAGCATCTTTCTTTACATGGACATATACATGTTAATTCACAGCGTTTTCAGTATCACAAGTACCAGTCTAACATAGTACACAAGCAGTGATAAAAAATACACAGTGCTTTACTCTTCTTCAGGTGAATTTCCTATGAACTGCTAAAACTATTAAAGTCGACTGTCAAAACTATGCTATTGAACCACAAATATAAATATGAAAGAGGAAATACAGTTATGCCTGGAATAGATCCCATGTCTCAAACAATGCAATCCAAATTAATGAGACAATTTTTCTTTAAAAAAAATACTGTGAAAAAGAGCAAATAATGCCAATCCTCAGGTGCACTATGTATTACTTAACTCTCCTCATGATAGTCCTTTTTTTTTTTTGAAATAAAAAGAATGGATATATTCATTCACAAGCATCAAGGGGAAGCAAACTCATATACAAAAGCATTTACATATGAATCAGATTGTTAATAAAATCCCCAAGATCCTCAAAAGAGTAGAAAGGATGACCCTTAATAAAAAAACATCCTCATGATAGTTAATATCAAGTGCATAATATGTCTAATCTTCAACCTTGATTCACCAATGTCAAATTTTCAATCTCCACAAAGGTTGTAAAAGA